GAGAGAGAGAGAGATGGAGGTGGAAAGGCAGCGGATAATGCTGTCTAGGGGGAGGCAGTCGGGGTTCAGGCGGCGGTGTGTGGAGGAGGAGGCATTGGGGTGTTGTTGGGGACCGGGGAGGGGGAGACGACGGAGGAGAACGAGGAGAGAAAGAGCGTGTGTTACCGAGAAGAGTCCGCCGGAGATCGCACGAAAACCCCTCATCGGAGGAAGATGCCACCGTCGAACGCCGATGGAGAGGAAGACGCCGTGGTTCGGCGATGGGAAGGAAATGCCGACCCCGCGCTGTTAGGTTTACCAAGATCTGGTTCGACCGAAACAGAATCAATAAACCCAATTCCTTTAGGCTCGACCCAGAAAATTAATAATAATTTAGGGGGAAAGCATTTTATCTAAATCTAATCATATATATTTCCTATACCACTAACGATAACAATAGTTTCCAATTACGATTAATCCCTCCCATAGACGACGACGAACTCTTCAGTGTCAAAAGCTCATCTCGATAAGTCCTCCAGTGGTCTTCCATCTACGAAGAATCGCAAGAGTTGGTGCAATCATGACATGTCTGTAGCATAAATAAATACCAAAACAAAATTATTATATTAAACATTTATAAAATCAATTCATATATTAAAATCAATAAAAATAGGAAGATTAAATATTAATTTGTTTTTCACTTAATCCACATGGTTAATCGTTCTGTGGATTTAAATCTGATGAGAGTGACGATTCAATCCAGAGAAAGCTCTCAAAGTGCATATATTAGAATGAACGAGTAAATGATCAGTACCAAATAGATTGCAAGTCACCTAAGACTGTTTGTACGTAGCACATAAGAAGGGTTGATGCAATTATGTACTGAACCATAAGAAGCATTATGAGCAACATTGACGAGAGCAAAAAATTATGTACGTGAAGAATGACAAATGAACTCATAAATAATTAGAAGGAACAAATCATTCGGTGATTGCCACTTGGATATGTGCAACTAACAAATGTTCTACTACATTAATGTACTCCTTGAGCATGCTACCCCCTGTTTCACAAAGTTATGCTAAGTTGTAAGATTAAATGTGGTAATGCTTTCAACATATACTTCCCCCTCAATAATTGCTTCTCTTACGATATATAACAACAGTAATAAATTGTTTGATCTTATAATCATCACACCCTATATCCTAAATCCTAAAATATAATTTATATGCAGGAGCTTATTTAACTAAAAAAAATCATTTAATTCAAAAAGAGCCTTAGATAATTTATAAATATGATTTAAAAAAGATCAATTTCGGTGATCATTCAACATAAATTTTTTTGAAAGTAAAATCATTAAAAAATTACTTTTGATATCTATTTAAAATAATTAATTTTTTTAAAATATAAATAGGTAAGAAGTATCCTTATGGCTTTAATCTAATCATAGGAGTGAATGTTTATTCATAATCTATATTCTCTTCTTTGTTGAAATATTTTACCACTAATTTAGTCTTGCTTCAAACTATAACATCTTGTTCATCTTACTTATTCTTAAAAATCCATTTAGTATCAATTATAAGATAGTCACTGGGTCTATGAACAAATGTCTAAACTTTGTTTAGTTCAAATTAATTTAACTCTTTATGAATTGTCAAGACCCATAAGTCATTTTTAAATTATTATATTTAGAATCGATTTGAGATTAAAAAAATAGTATCTATATAAACTTTTAATGTATCTCTAATAATTAATTCCTCAGGATATGCATTTATATACATACATTCCGTATGTAAAATTTGTTTGGAAGTAAATGCATCTAAGTTGCTTTAAAGACGGAATCTTCATTCAAATTTAATTTATCGATTTCAAAATAATCATCAAAATTATTATTTTTAGCTTCAATATATCCATAAAAAATAACATGAATGGATTATTAAATAACTAATAATATCTTATTGAAAACTCGATAAGCTTACGAATATCTAATTTTGTATCAGAGATACCTTTGTCATTTAAAATAAGATATTTAATGTTGGTTTTTTTATAGTTCAACTTTTTATAAGGAGTTTTAAATGCATGAGATCTTATAAGAATTTTGTTTATGATATAGCATGTTATGTTAACGATTTTGACTCAAAAATATTTGAGTAGGCTATGTTCATTAAGTATAATCATTTCCATCTCTTGTAATTTTTTATTCTTTATCTTAATAACTCTATTTTATTATAGATTTCTTGAAGTGAAAAATTTATGATAATACCCATTCAATTCATAAAATTCTTAAAAATTATAATTTTAAAATTCACCACCATGATCACTATAAATAGAGGAAATCATAAAATATTTTTCATTTTGAACTTATTTATAAAACTTAATAAAATATTTAAAATAGTCATTTTTACGTGTCAATAAATATATCCAAGTATATCTACTATAGTCATCAATAATTACAAAAGCATACTTACTACCTCATATACTTATGATGTGGTCCAAATAAATCCATGTGAATTAGTTATACTGAACTAAATATACTTGGTTTTTGGATTTAAATATACTCCTTATATATTTTCCTAATTGGCTTGTATTATAAATTTTATATTTAATAAATTTGATTTTAGGTATTCCTTTATAAATTCTTTAATTCTAATTTATGAAACTAATTTCATACTAGCATATTTTAATCTCCTATGTCAAAGCTATCCATCATCATTCAAAACTAAAAAATAAGTTACATCACATAAATCACTTGTTAAAACTATCATAGATTTATTCTTATTTGATATTTCTATAATACTGAAATTTAAATTCAATATTATATCCCTTATTACAAAGTTGGCTAATACCCATTATGTTGTATTTTAAATTATCTACCAAAAGTATATTTTTAATCAAGAGATTTAATTTATTATCAATATTTTTAATATCAATGTTTTTTTCTTTATTGTTGTTTATAAAGACAACATATCATCAATCTCAACTAGTAAGAAGTTTATAGGATCTCCAAACATATACTATGAGCATCCGGTATCAAGATACTATTTTTTATTCTTAACTTTTATTTGGAGATATATCTATAAAAAAGAAAGGTTTATTTTAGGTATCCATTTAACTTTATGATCTTTATAGTTAAATCTATTTTTCTTATCTTTTGACTTTAAATTATTTATGTTTTTAGAAATATAAACTAATTTAAGATATATCTTTTGACTTTAAATTATTTATTTTTAAAAAAAATCTAAACTAATTTAGAATAATTATATTTCTTAAGAGAGCATGTGTAAGCATAGTGATTAAACTTTTCATAAAAGTTACATTTAACTTTAGGAGGAACGTAGAGTGTGAGCCCTTTAACAAATTTAGTTAATGTGCTACTACTTATAAAATCAATATTTTTTAAAATAAATAACCTTATTTAGCAAGAATCAAATCAAATGACTCAACTTGAAATATTAAAAAAATAATTTAAAATATTAATCGAAATAACCCAAATACAAGCAATATGTTGAAGAGTTATTGCTTTATAATATTTTATTATTTTAGTTTTGAGGTTGGACATTGAATTGTAATACTCTCAACTCTTCATGCAGATTAACAAAAATATGCTAATGTTGGTTAAAAAGTATATTTCATTGGTCCAGTCTCATAAGTCTTTCTATGCTATCTAATTGGGACTCATGTACTTTATAATATTATTAAAATAATGGCACAAGTATCAGTGACCTCAAAATTATTTAATAAATAAAAAATAATTCGAATCTTGAATATAAATGCATCTCAAATCTTGTATACATTACTATTGACGATACAAGATTCTTCAAGTGAAAATATGACACGCGTCTTAT